TACTCTTAAATCTGTTAAAATTGCTGAAAATTTAGCTGGTCTAAATTTATCAATTATTTCTTTTATTGTATTTACTAAAAATTCGCCAGTATAGCTTAAACTTGATAAATTCTTTAAGCATCACAAATATTCCTTATAGTTGGATATATAAATTAAAAATTCTAAATAGACTTATTTGCTAATTTCATCTATTTGTCACATACTTATATATTAATTAATTAAAATTAAATTAAAATTACTAAATATTAATAAAATAATATTAAAATAAATAATATATGTAATGTTAGATTTGCTATATTTTTTAATTTCTTAATAACTTATATATTTACAACTGCAATTTCTTGTGATAAAAGTTTACCAGATAATAATTCTTTTAATGGAGACATATATCCAGGATATAGAGTCTTTAAAATTTAATAAAGAAAAAGTTTTCAATTATATGTCATATAATATCACATACTACAAATGCTTTTACATAAATACAATTAATTTTATGAATTCTATCTTCAGAATTTGATTACTTTTATGAAATTCTGTTATTTTTTTCTAAGTTAAACTATCATTAAGTTTTTAGTTTGAAAGATTAGTTATATTTCCTTCTGCTTTTGCAGTAAGATGATTTAAGAAGAATTGTCTTGTATCAGTCAATACTTTAAAATAATCATTAGCAAAATATGCTTTTAAATCTTGTAATAAACTCTTTTTTTAAAAGTAATTACAGTATATACAAGTTACATCATAGTGATTTTTCGATATTTTTTTGTCTTGTATAGCATATTCTTCCTATACTAAAGTCTTAGAACAACCACTAGCAGTTTTTCTTTTTTTTTATTAGAATTATAATTATATAGGAAAAGGGTTAAAAAAATAAATTTTTGTATAGACATATTTAATAAAAATAGAAGAAATAATAATTGATTTTTTTTAAAGTCAATCACAAAAAAAAGAAAATATGAAAATCTTTATTTATAATTAAACGTGATAATGTATTATAAAAAATCTTTATATCTTGAATATAAAAAAAGATCAAAAGTTTAGAAAGTTGATGAATATCACTAAATTTAATCACCAATTAAAAGAATATACATGACATTTTTAGTTTTGTCATATTTCAGATATTTTATCAGATTTTGAAAATTATGTCAGATTTTAAAAGTTTTGGAATAGCTGAAACTAAAATCTAAAATAGGCAAAATATTTTACCAATCACAAAAAAGTTTCACCTGAAACATTATATAACTTCATTTTCATTAGTCAATTGTTTTGCTAATAATATACTACCTTAAAATAAAAATACTAATAGTCTTAATTTTAAATTTAAATGTATTTTAAAAGATGTTAATAATATATTTATTAATCTGATTTTAATTATAAATAAGGTAATTTTTTAGAAAATATAATGTTTGATACCTGTAATATTTATAAATATCTCTTATCTATTAATCAAAATATCCTTACAATCTAAAAGATAATATAAATCATTTTAAATTTTAAAGTAATTTAAAAATTAATCAGTTTAACTATATTATTTAATAAATTTATAAACTAAATTTATAATATTAATTAATATTTTATATATATACAATTTTTTTTTTTTAATACATATTATTAATTTATTATATAGATTTTTTAATTACAAATTAGGATTTATTTAATGATATGAAATTATAAGTTTCTAGTATTATTTTATTATTATAATAATAAAATTTATATTAATCTATAATATCATTAAGCAATTTGTAATATCAAAATAAATACTTTAATATTATAAAATATCTTAATTGTAAATCCAACCAATAGAAAATTTAATGTTTATTAAAAATATTTAATATATATAAAATTCACTAATTTTATAAATTGACCAGTTAAAATCTATCATATAAACAAAATAAGTCCTTTCCTGAAATTTATACTGAATTTTCCGAAATTTTGATTTTTTTTAATAATCAAAATTTCAAATGTTTTACAAACAACGATCATCATCCAATCAAACTCGTCGAAAATTATGACCCCGGTACAAGAGAACGCCCCTGCATGTATATTTTTATAGGGCGTAAAAATTGCCATAGTTTCCCTGCATTTGTCATTCAAAAAGTATTCGCTAATTGCTTTTTAAAGTTTTTTTTGCAAAATTATATTGTTTCAAATAAATGAAGCAAGTGTTGTCTGTCAGTATCGATAATTTATGATGAATATAAAACTTCGAATTCGCATGATGACAGAGATTTCCAATTCCAATTAAAGTCGAGATTAGGGGTTTAACTTATTTGTATATAATGATGACACTACAGCAAATTAATGTCTGTTGAAGGTCGCCTAAGATTTGCTCGGGAATACGATAACCTTTAAACGAATTAATTCGGTCACGCAAATTTTGATTGTCAAAAAAAAAAATTTCTTTTTGATTACTACAAAGAACAGGCAAACATAAATAAAATAAAAACGCAGCACCTAATACAGTTTGCATCAAAAAATTTGTATTTGACAAAAATTTTAATGTAGTAAAAATTTTTTCTCCTACCCTTTCTGTTACAAATCTCCTATAATCTAAACTATTTCTGACGTAAATCCAACTAAAACATCATTAACTCCGAAATTTCCAAAAATGGAAATCTATTAAGAGGTTAGAACAATTTTAAAAATAAATATAATGTCATTAGAACATCCATCTTTGCATTATTTGTCACTCAACATTATCACATCCCTTGTTCCTTTAACGTCTTTATTAAGATTTACAAGCTTGTTCCACTTACCAAAGCCAATTATAGCCAAAAATATGGAATCACCACATACAGCTTTTATATTCTAATTCTTCTCATGACATTTCTCTTTTAAATATAACCTTGGTTATATCTTAATGAATAAATATAGAATATAATGTAATGAAATAAGATTTTATCCCATTGTCCAAGTTTCAAAACAATCCGAAAAAACATTTAAGGTAATTCATTGTTTACTAAATTCAGTAAAATGTTATTTTATTAATCAAAAGGAGAATGCGATGCGATCGTTTTTCTGCGCATCAAATTTAAATTTTTGCCGCGTTAGTTCATTTCCTAAAAAGTATAAACGAAAAATCTGTCCTACCTGTTTTTCCTATTATTCAGCCACGGTAGCTAACTATTCTTTTGCTAAACTTTAAATGGTCGGACTTAATAAATATACATTAATGTTGGTTAGTACATGTATGACACCCATTTTTTAGTGACTATATTTGGTACAATTTGGAACAATCCATATGAAAATTTTCCTATTATTACATTTTATCAATATAAGATCATGAATTTCATTCAGCTCTCTTTTTTTAGAGCTTTGAAAGTTCGTCAAAAAAAAAAAATAAATAAATTAAATTCTTTTTTTCCTTTTTTTTTTTTTCTTTTTATTAAAATTCTAAACATCTTTGATAATAATTAATTTTATACCTTTATTTTCTATTTTAAAATTAACGTCAAAACTTACCATTTCGACAAAAATTTTTTTAATTCTTACCACAAACAAAAACAACAAAATGAGGTCAACAAAATTAATGAACCCTGTATCATTACCAAAATTACCAAATGAATTAATATTAGAAATATTTAATCATATTCCTTCAAAACAATTAACGAAATTCATGATACTTTCTCATTCAATGAATATTGAAATAAGAAAACTCCTAATAAAACGCTATAACGAAATTTTTTGGAATCCTCATCGAAGAATACTGGTAAGCACTTTAAACATTTTTCGACTTACCTTTTTTCAAAGGTTAAAAACATGTGTTAATTTTATTTATGCCCTTTGTATGTTATAGGTGATGATTACGCGATACATATTAGATTTCGTTCCAATTTATAATGTATTTGACCTTGGTTTTAAACGATTAGACAACAATTCTCTATTGGCAACATTCCAACTAGATTCTACACAAAAACCCGGTACAATAGGCCCACTTAACAAAAAGTTCTGGGGATTAAAATTAAGAGGGGATGGAATACTTCGTGATAACCTATTAAACGAACCGATATTTTATACTTCATGGGATATTCCACACGAAAAAAAAGAAGCGAGAATATATGTTTACGATAGTGAAACTGATCCCTCTCATCCTTTTATCAAAACTTTCTTTGTTACTTGTGGAATGGTAGAAATTCCTTGCGATGTTCGTGAAGAAACTAATGGTTATTGGTTTTGGAATATATTTAATAATATTAGAGGTAAAAACGCTAGTATCGTGCCTAAAATTGGATTTCTGGGTAAAAATGAGAAAAAAAGTAATTCGAACGATGTTTTTGGTATGCTAAAAAGTGTTTGTATACAAGCTCCTATGTTGTTAGCTGCTATTGAAGAACAGAAAAAAGATAGATATGTTAATGGTATAAAATATTTAGTTATGGATGGTGGTCAGCAATTCTTAAAGCGTAAGAGAGGTTGTGTCATTTCTTAGTTTAAAAAGAAGAAAAAAAAAAAAAAAAGACAATTTTATAATATTTTTGTAATTTATTACAAATTGTAATATATTTTATTTATTTATCTTTTCCTTATATATTCTCTTTAATAAATTTATATTACGGTTTGATACCGAAATATAAAGTTTCATTATATGATTTTTGGATTGAAATGAAAATGAATTTTTTTTTTTTTTTTTTTTTTACAATTATTTAATTGATAAATTTTTAAAATGGCGTACTCTGAATATAATTACAAATTGAAATAAAATAATCTCATATCAACTCTATTTTCTAAAGCATGTGATATAGCAAAAAAAAAAATTGGTTTCTATATTATTTTTTGAATCAATTGGAATTTGATCTTAAATTATAGGATTTTTATTATAGTGATTGTTATTTTTTAAATTATATAATCAAAAATAATTAATAATTTTTAACAATTTTATTCTTTATTATTTATAATAAAAATACAATAATTTTTCTGTTTTATATTTTTACATTTTTTTTTTTTTTAATAAATTTTATTATTTTAAATAATAATAGAATTTTTTTAATATTTTTTTAGTTAAACGTTTTAAAATTTATCAATAATTAATTTATAAAATATTTTAATTATTAAAATATTATTTAAATATAAATGTTTAATTTGTAACTTAATAATAGTATATAATAAATAATATTTAATCTAATTAAATTTGATATATTAAATCAGTATATAAAATTTAAACTAAAAGTTATATGTACTAGTTGTTAAATTTATTTAAAATATGAAAATTATCTTAGTTCTTTTATAAAATTACTTTTTTATATATATAATTTATTTCTTTTTAGTAATAAATTGTATATATTTTCATTGTATAATATATGTATACTAAAAAATAATATACACATATGGGAGTGTTTCTAGGAAAATCAGGTTCCGAGAAATTTTTGACTAAAATTAAGAGCTTAATACATTTTAATCTAATAACATCAAAAACTAAAATGCAATAAAAATCTCAATTTCGCTAAAAAATTCCCAGAACCTGATTTTCCTAGCAATCAACCCATATGATCTAAATATCTTATATAATCTGAATACCGCATATAATCTAAATGATGTGATCTAATTATCTCATATAATCTAAAATGATATGGTCTAAATATCACATATAATCTAACATTTTATTATTTCTTATATTACTTTTACATTTTAGCTATATTTTTAAGTCTTTCTTAGTATCCATATTTTTTATACTAATATATTTTTATTACCATAATATAATCTAATTACCATACACATATAATCTAAATACCATATATTTCTTCTTGTTTCTGAGTCATTTACATGCTAAATTCTATAATAGAGTTGTTGACCCTCTGTAGCTGTTTCGATATCTAGTTTTATATTAAGAGTACTGGTCTCCTGCGTCTGATTGGATGCTAGATTCTATATTGAAGTACTTCCCTTTTGTGCCTATTTGGTTGCCTTTCTAAATCCTAAAAATGTGGTAAAAAGTATTATGTCATGTGACGCAGTAGAACTGTGATTAATTTTGGCTGATCTTTTAGGCATATAGTTTGAGAAGTTATCATGGTAGTGATCTGGTAGTATCCTAGAACTATCATAAAACTAGTAAAGAACTGCCAGAATGCTAGAGAAGTTCCTATTAGTTCATCAGCTTAGATGCTGAATTATTATATCTAAAGATCTTGCTGAAATCATGAAATAGTATTAGCCAAAATTAAATAATTGCTAAAAGTGCATCATCTTATAATCTAACTATTATACCAGTACATATATACCAATTTTGCGTCTGTTATTAGAGATGTAATATGTATTATCATAGTCATATCTAGAAAAATGAAGCCTTCTGCTAATATTTATATAATAGAATACGCAGAAGACTTCACTTTCAGTTGTATATTTGCTTACCTTTTATTTATGATTTGCTTGTTAATTTGCTAGTCTAAAGAGCCTATTGTTTGTATCACAAGTTCTGTCACGAGTTTTTTTTCCTGTGATACTAGTGATAAGTTGTATTATTTTTATTATCCTCTAAATTTTCTATCACTGTCTCTGCCAAAGTCAACTTAGCCAGCTTTTTTGATGATACTATTCCCTTTTACAATGCTTTCTAGCATGTAGATCATAAAATCTATATTCAGAATAAGTTTGTTTACCACATTCAATGCAAAGTATATATAAGGGAAAATTATAATATAAATTGAGATAATTTTTTCACATTGTGCTGTCCCTAGTGTTCTTAGGAAAAATTTTCTGAAGTCATTTCTTAGGAATAACTATAATATTAATTTTTGAATTTTTAAGTTTATTGATTGTGTTCTTCTAACTATATCGCTAGTATTCCTAGTATTCTTAGTAAAAAAATAAGTTGTAGAAAAACATTCAAAATCTTTCCTATGCTACTTATGTATGCTATATGAGTAGTATATAGATACTATATAGATGGTATATACATAATATATATATGCTTAAAAAATAAAATATAAAGAAGTCTGAAATTTACTAAGAATACTAGGGACACTAGAGACACCTATCTAGAAGTCTTCTCAGGATTCTAAAAATGTCAGAAAGCTTACTTTCAATATCTCCAGAAGTGTTTCCTGCATTTTTCTAGGAACAACTTTCTAAGGCTAGTACTCTATTGTATCAGACATTTTTATTTTATCAAGATCCTATTTTAATATATCTGGAGTTTGCCCGTTCTGAAGCATCTTATCCAACCTTTTTCACTGATAATATGCCTTTAAATGACACTTCTAGACATGCAAATTACAAATCTATATTTAGAAACCATCAGCCTTATATATTTATCTTGTTTGCATAGAGCTCGCTGACATCTTTTCCAGTGAATACTACATCCTTCTGGTTGCGTACTTCCATTTTCACAAACTATTCCTTCATCAGAGAGATACTGGCAAATGTATCTATCTTCCTTTCCAATATAATCATTAGTGAATATAATGTTTACCATTTTGCTATTATTCTCAATCTTTGATGTCTATAATAATATTTATTTTTATTTTAAACTTTTTTACTAGAGTATTATACTGAAATAGTATACTAGATAGCATATCTAAAAATTTTTACTATGACACAATCTGAGTTTTCAGACTTTTTCAATGCCTTCACCTCATATGGGTTTAATGCCTCTAACATAGAAGAATACTAATATAATATTTGCGATGATAGTGTCAGACTAAGACATTTTCTAGACGTAGACAATGAAGACAAAATAGAAGCCATATTCTTAGAACGTGAAGGGCATTCCTTATATGAATTTATTGATGGTGATGAACTACTCTACCCTATCATAGATTTTGATTTACTAGTAAAAATATTAAATACTATCTCTCTCAAACTTTCGAACAAGTAGGCTAAAAACATACTTTGTAATGCTTTTAAAGAGGTATGTCTAAAAATATTTTCAGATTGTAATAAAAAAAACTATAACTATTGCTGAAAGCAGTGATGTGAAAAAAATATTTCTCTATATTTTAACTTTCAGTATGAGACTTTCAAATATCACTAAGGCTTCAGTTTTCACTGAACTTGTTCGTAAAAAACTTCTAGTAGGATTGCAGAAAAAAGGTATTATCAATAACATAGCAAATATAGGTCCTTCCAAATTTTTCTCTTTGCGAATGCTTGGATCATCTAAATATGATAAAAAACAGAGGAATATGTTTGTGTAAAAAAAGCTATCCATTCAAAAGATAGAACTATCTTTGATTTTATGATTCGTCCACCCAATGATGATTCTAAAGTTATTGATAGTCCTCTCTTGGCTGTTTAGAGCCAGAAATTAAAAGATGCCTGACTGAAGAAAATGAAAATAATGACATAAGTAGCAAAATTACTCAGACTGAATTCAACTTTGTGGAATTATTACTTAAAGAAAATGGCATAGAAGGATATAGTCTTTCATACCCATCTGAAAACTTTTCTGACAAATTTCTATTATTACACATCTCTTCATTACACTGTCCATTATATGATTAGGAGCATACTAGTAATAATACATATATTATACTAAATAAAAAATTATATAGCTTTAAATGTTACTATGCAAATCATTAACAAAATCCTGGAAATTAATAAGGACTCTTTCCCATCAATCACTTTTCGCAAAAAAGTCTAAGAAAATAAAAACGTTCACCACCTAAGTTTTATTATATTTTTGACTCCGTTAGTTAGTCTTATAGTTCTACAACAGTTCAAATACACCTTTATAACTAGGGAAAAGTTTACTTTAAAAGATACTTTTACTCAATATGGTCAGAAAAAACCAAAACAAACAAGCGTCTTTGAAAAATAAGCACCGTTTTAACCCAACAGAACACCAACAAACCCCCAAGACACCAGTTGCTTCAACTTCTGGCTCTGGAGAACAACTTGACCCGTCTGCAGCTTCAGACGCTATACTTATTGAAAATTTTTTCAAGCCTCTAACTTCTACTCCCCCCAACGTCTTGGATAAGAATGAATACCTCCCCATAGAAGATGATCCCAATATGGAAATGGATCAAAACAAAGATTTCACTGTCATTACTCGTTCAATCCCATTTGCCTGCGCAGCTACAATTTTCAAAAGCCTCAAGGAACTCCTCACTGCCACTATTTCAAAGATTGTTAACGCTCACTTTGCTCTCGATGACGCGTTCAGAAGGATTAACGTCCGCTACGTTAACTTTGTCCGATCGATTGTGATCTACTTCAATGATTAACAATCTATGGAATTAGCCCTTAACGTAAAATTTCCCGATTTGGATATCAACCAGCTGGTTCAATATGCAACTTACAAAGAAAATATACAGTTTCCTCAACACACCATTCGTATCACTGATATCCATCTTAACTTAAAAAAGGAACAACTCACCAACATATTTGCTAAATATGGTAAAATAGTTACTGTGCAAATGTTCACCAGAGATCTTTGGCAATAAGCCTACATCACCTATGAAGATCCTAAAAGTGTCAATCTATTCTATA